TTTAATATCAGCTAGACGTGCATTCTCATCATTTTAATTTGTCCACACTGGGTTTTTTTAAAGCACAATTTTGAATGTATCTTATTGGAGCTTTGCATGATTAACCACCCTTTGCATAACAGTTAAGTGAATAGGAAAAGGATGAACTGTGCTTATTGAGAATAGAATAGAATTCAACTTTATTATCATAACAATGTCGCAAGTACAAAGCAACAAAATTCAACCGTTGTGGAGCAGTGGGCCGCCATTGTGCGGAACCCGGGGAGCAGTGTGGGGTCTAAGGTTCTTACTCAGGGACCCAGAGTGGCAGTCTGTGGGAGTGGGGTTCAAACTCAGAAGCTCTGGAACCCAGGCCCAATGCACTACCCACAAGGCCAGTACCATCATTTTATATTTCCTCTTTTAGCCATTCCAGTAGTGCCCAATGCAAAGCTTGTATTCCAAAGAAATCTAATGATTTAAAAACCATATGATGTGGTTAATGTGCTCTATTAAAATGCTTTTATTACAATTTCTTTAACATGCATGTGGGATTTAGTGGAGCCTATACCCATGGGGGGGGATTTACCATTAAGCAATACTAGGCAGTTGCCTAGTATTCCCCAAGTTCCTGGGGGGCCCATAAAACTCTGCTTACATACAGCTATTTCATATCTCTGCACATGAATTATGTTTCTGTTAAAAATCCATTACCTAAAGTGCCATCAGAATGCTTCTAATGTATATATTAGAGTATATTCTGTCATGATCTGGCCTGTTTGCTCTCCCTTAATTAATAATTCCTCTCACCTGCCCTCTTCCTTCCCTGCCTCAATCATAATTTATTCCTCTCACCTGTTTCCTGTGGTTTATATTCAGTTCAGCCTGAGCATTCAGTGCCAGATCATTGCTTGTCTTTTTGTTAGTCTGTCCAGTTTTATTTGGTTCATGTCCTGGATCCTAGCTGCCAGTGGATAGAAGGTTTTTGTGTTTGTCTGGTCTCCTGATCGTCCACTGTTCCTCCCCCACGGAGTCCTCTGGGTTTTTGGCTCATTATGGGGGGAGGTTCACTTTTTATCAAAGTAAGCCTGGCTTCAGGGTGGGGACCAGTTTAAAGTCCAGCTTCAAGTTCCGATTCCTACGTCCTGTCTCGGCTACCCTCTTCCACTGTGCCTGCCTGTCTGCACCTGATCCTGTCTGCTCCTGTGCGTGACCACCTGGTCATGCTTCTGGTCCCAGTAAGACTCTGAACCCTCCTGGAAGCCTGTGCATGTCTGGAAGTCTGGATCCTGCCACCTGTCTCTGTTCCTGCCTGATCTGGATCCTGCCTGTTCCTGTCTGTTCTGGATCCCTCACCAGGATCAGCTTCCAGCATAACCTCTGGGACTGCAGCACTGGGGACACTCGTGGTCTGGACTGTTAAACCAGGTAAGTGACCAACCCAGATAATCATACATCAGTTTATCGTGGTCACTTACCTGTGTTTCCTCCCTAGAATGTCTGAGATCGGGCGGTACCCCGCCCCCCCGCCTGCAGTGTCCGCGAGCCACAGCTCCACTTTTGTTTTGTCTTTATTTTAATAAATCTTTTGAACTTTCCTACTGACTGTCTCTCCTGAATACTGGGTCCATCTGTCCTCGGTTCATGACAATATTCACTTAATAGTATATTATATATGTAGAGTATATCCCCCCCCACCACCACCACCACACATTGGATCAGTCCATTTGCTACACATGTTCAGAAAGGTCCAGACAGCAGCAAACCATTTGAAAACTATCGATATGAGGAGCAGTGTTGCCAACTTAGCGCTATATTTAGCGACTTTTTAGACTCCTCTAGCACTTTGTTCTGCAACTGGAGACTTTGGCAACAACATATAAAGTGAGCGAACTCTATCTAGTCTGCTGTCATGATACATGCAGTTATTATTTCATCGAAATGAAAAACGGAGAACAGGTAAGCAAATCATGGCTTCTCTACAGTAAAGAGAAGGACGTGTTATTTACTTTTGCCGTCGCCTTTTTGGAAACACAGGAAGGAGCAATCAGCTATGTGCTTATCCACTGGAAAAAAGTTTTATTCCTTTTGAGACAGCATGAAAAGTCAGCTGAGTACAAAGCATAGAGAGGAAAACAACAAGAAAAAGGAAGTGAGGGACAAAAACGTAGAACAAATAATGTATGCCTATTCTATTAAAATGTCTGAATCTGTATAATGGGGCTGTTTTATGTGTTGTCTTCTTAATTCAGAGTGCCCCCTGCCTGTCTTTGCCTAGGGCCCCAAATTTCCTAAATCTGCACCTGCATATACCACCAGCATCATCCCCATAAACAACAAAGGAAAGAATAAGTAGCAGTTCAGACTGTGTAGCGCCTCTGTGATATGTGTATTTAGAATAACACATTTACTCTTGATAAGACTAGGAATACTAACAGAAACCTGCCAGATCAAAACTTTTCAGCAGGGATATAAACAGATTTGGACCAATTAGAAGATCACTGCCAAAGTCAAACTGTTGACCGTCCACAGTAATGTGATATTAACCGAGGTCTTACCTCCACATTCAGATTTTTAATGATTCATGAATAGAAACAAAGAATTCATATTTTTTTATGACTCAGCCTGTTGACCTGGTGTTACTCTTTTCAGCAGAGCAGCATCATTTTTATGATGTCAGCCTAAATACACACCAAGAAAATTAGCTTTCTGCATTTTATGCCTAACAAACCTCGTATGTTATGAATGCCTACAAGGGAAACTCTTTTAGTTTAACATTTTAACATTTTAGTGGGACAAGAAAACACCGGATCTTATCTCTGAAGCTCTGGTCAACCAGTCTGCAAGTAGAGTTGTTGTGACTGCTGATGAGTATGAAAATAACCCAGGAAATATGCAAATTCCCTAAGGGGAAAAAGCAAAACAGAAAACCCTTTGGAAGCTCATCCAGGCTGCTGGGATCCTTAGAGACGATTCTAGTGTGAATCTGGATGTAATTCCTCTGTGAATTTCTCAGATTTAATGTAAAATATGTTATTTTTTATTTAATCTATCTTTCTAAGTCAAACTACATCTACAGTGGCATTTAAATACCATTATCACACTCAAGCATATTCATTCATTTTTATTCATTTTATTAGACTTAATGTTAGAAATCAAAACTCAATCAGATTATATTTTAAATTAGGTTTAAGAACGATTATTTATATGTATAACCCATCTTCAGATAAATAAAGCAAGATTATTAAAATATGATCATATTTAAACAATAATTAATTAATTAAAATACTAATCAGAGTAAAAAGAGAAAAAGTAAAATCAGTAATACAGATAATATAAATAAATAAAAACAAGTTAGAATAAAAAGCCAAAAGCTGTTTTTTTTTTTTTTTTCCAGTAAATGAACACTAAACATAATATCATAACAAAGGAAACTCCACAGGCAGGGAGAGATGAGACATTGATCTCCTCGGGTTAAATACAAAGTCTTGGGAACAACAACAAGATTTTAGTTTCAACCTCAGTGTTATTTAGAAATGCAGGCTACAATTTATCAATACAGAAGGAGGTTGTTTCTGCAGGGCTATAAACATTAAAGTCAGGATTTTTAAATATATTTTTTTAAAAGAATAGTTAAACAGTTCAAATACATGTGAACTGGAGCGATGTGAGCTCTTCTGTTTGCTTTAGTGTTAGTGCTTTAGTACCAATTCAAAGTGATCAAGGTCAGAAATGTGAATCAGTAGAGAAGAAGAAATAAATGCAATAAATTAAATTAAAATGACCCAAAAAACCTAGACTTTAAGAAAGACCTGGATGACTTTTTGAATTCTGTTTTCTGTCTGAATCTAATGCCTAATTTTAAGGCGTTTATTCAGGGATTGCAAAGAACAGTGGGTCAAAATCCCTGATACTGATGTAAAAATTTACCTCATCGATTATGGCTAAAGCTTAATAAGTGCTACTTATTAAGTTAGATGTTTTTTTTTTTTCTTTAACATGAAGCTGAGGTGTTTTTAAGTATTTTTTATTTGAAAACTGAATTCCTTACTTCTTCATTTTATCTGTGACTGTTTTCAGTTTGACTGATGACCTAAAAACAATTAAAAGCAACAAAAAAAAGCAAAAACAGAATAAATCATTACTTTTTCAGACCATCTCACTTTAAGGTTTTTGCTTATTGATTGTTAAACATAAAACTCTTCCAGGCTGAAATGAAAAAGATCACAGAGAACCCAGAGCATCCTCATCCTCAGACTGACATTCAGCACTGCGGTGTCTTTAGTCAGAGGCTTCTCAGACCCCCTGTATCACAGACTGCTAGAGGAGATCCTTCAACATTTATAACAACAAACTCCAGGTTTGCTTTAGGGTTAATGACGTCGAGTGAAGCTGAATTGAATCAGAGCCCTTCATTTAAAGCTGCTGTTGCAGAAGCAGATAGCTTTAACTTACTTATGAGAGGAAACTCTCTGATCCTCTGTCAAATCACTGCCATCTTTGATGTCAAATGTCAAGCCAGGGTGCTTTCTGAGCTTCTTTTAGTAACAGAGGACCCATCATTCATCTGCAATGTTTTACATTAATCGAGATCATAACAATGACACCAGTCTACTCTAATCATATGTTACTTAGAAAGGAAACAGCAGAAGTAGCCATTAAGCCAGCGAGGACCCTTGAATCAATCTACATTTCTTCTTTACATTAAAACACAGCAGAAAATTTTACATTTACAACTGTTAATGACTTAATAAATGCAATTATGCCTGATATATAAACTATTGTCAGTCAATTTAGTTGCATTTTGCAAAAGCTATTTTATGCATATAAATCATTTCTGGTTAAATGCATAAGCTGGTTTTCCTGTTTAAAGTAAATAAGACAAGTATTTCACCTTGAGCTGAATTAGTACTTTTGTTTTTTTTTAACATAAGTAAACTATAATTTCACCTGATGCTTCATTTAATCAAAAAGCAGTCATGTTTGAGCAGTCTATCTAAATTAGATAATTTGTGCCTTACCCTTTATCTGAGTGAGATGTCAAACTTTGGTTTCCTCCAATGCTTGCATGACCCGAGCTGGAAAGCGTCTCACTCTGACTCTCTAACAACTCTGACCAAGCCCATAGTCTGAGCTGCAGCAGTAAAGGCAACCAGAATCACAGGAGCCTCTTTTCCTGTCTGTACTTTCAAAATAAAGTGAGCAGTAATCGCAATTTTGTACTATGAATACCTGTGATTAATTATTTTTGGTGATAAATATTTAGAAAGTTTTAGGTGAATAACAAAAAACGATTCAGCATTGTAATGTTCCCCAGAAAGAGATGATTTGGTGAGTTGACAGATACCAACATTAGTGGGTTTATATTGTTTAGCTCTGCAGCCTGATGTTGAGCAAACAGTGTCATCTGCTGGTTAAACCATCAGTCCATATCCCTTATTTTATTTATTTCAAAGAGCGATCATCACATCTACTGTTTCAGACCAGTGTCCCCTTGCATTGCTTTTGAATGTGTTATTTTTAATAGTTTTATTTTTAGTCCACCCATTATTTTTATTGACCTTTTGTCTTTTCACTATTTACACTAATTCTGCAGTTTAATGTGGAAATTGTCATTACTGTATAACTTCGCTCTTTGGGGGACAAATGATGGATGTCCACAGAACTCCTGATAATAACAGAAAAACAATAGAGAGAAGTAAACTAGAAAAAGCATGTATTATATCAGAGGTGGGTAATAACTAAATAGATTTATTTAGTAACATTTACTTGAGTAACTTTTTAAAAAGTGTACTTATCAGAATAATTTTACTGCACTTCACTTTTTACATTTACACTCTTTATTTCTTCCTTTACTTAGTCTTAGTATCTAAAATACCAGAATTTGTTCTGAATGTTTTAGTTTTGTCTGCCAGATAAACTCCTTACATATTAAATATGGAGCCTAGGTGGAAATTCAACTAAAGAAACTCATTGCTTTCCTACATCTACATGCAACACAGCCAATCAGCTTTGAACCACACCTCCATGAAAGCCAATCTGCATCCAAAGTTAATCTTAAAAGGCCTCCGATACGCACTTGTCTGCTCCTGTGCGCAGGCGGCAGATGCTCTGTGTGACTTCATTAAGATGACACAGTTTCAAGCCACCTCCAGCCCCTACTCCACCATCTAGCTAAAGCCTCATCAGAGTGTCGTCCCGGACTCTTACTGCGTTCCCTGTCTCATCTTAACTGGTCCCGCAGAAGACCGCCATGTTGAGCCTGGTTCTGCCAGAGGTTTCTTCTCAACGGGGAGTTTTTCCTCTCCACTGTCGCTTCATGCTTGCTCGTCATGGAAAGGTTCTCTCAACCTGTGTTATCCAACTGGACTTCCATCTTCCAGGTCCCTGAGGGAAGCTCTAGTATCAGCTCACCGCAATCCACTGGATCTCCCCATAAAGCTCAGCAGACCGTCTCGATAACCAGCAGTCTACAGACTGACCAACTTCATCCATTTCCACTCCACCACCATTTTGGGGGAAACAGCCCTATCCTTTGCTCCTGTTCACGCATATCTATCAAAATTCAGTGTTATGTTTCCTGCCAAGGTCTGAGCGCCAAAGACAAAATAATTGTATCAATAAAATTCTCCTGATTGTCTTTTCTCTTCGTGTGAGTTTTTCAGATTGAACAAATGTTATCATTAGGTGATATTTTTATCCATTTTTCATCATGCTTTATCCCAGTTGGGGTCGCGATGGGTGCTGGTGCCTACCTGCAGCTGTCTCAGGGCGAGAGGTGGGGTCCACCACGGACAGGTGACGAGTCCATCGCAGGGAAACACAGAAAAAAAAAAGGACAAACAACCATTCACGCACACACTCACACTTAGGAGAATTTATAGAAGACAAGTAACCTAACAGTCATGTTTTTGGACTGCGGGAGGAAGCCAGAGTACCCGGAGAGAACCCACCCATGCTCAGGGAGAACATGCAAACTCCATGCAGAAAGACTTAGTAGTAAATAAGTAGACCAAATATGTTTTTACTCTTAACTTACATTTCTTGCATATTAACTTTTACAGTTTATTTTGCTGTATTCTTTTCTCAGTATAGAGTTTGCTTTAGGGATGCATGATATAATCGGCCCCCTATCGGCATCGGCCTGTATCGGCCTTAAAACAGAATATTGGACATCGGCCACCCCACCGATATTTAACCTGATATTTGATCAGCTTCTGAGTTTCTAAAATCTAAAAAAAAAAAAAAAAAAAAAAAATACTACTTCTTCTTCCTCAAAAACTTGTTTTTTACAGACTTAAAAACTTCTAAAGACGAGGGAAAAAATATTGATACATTAAAATATCACAATATCTTCATATGCTGATATACTGCCATTTAGAAACACCATATCAATCTCTTGATATGGTGTTTCATATTACCAATGAAATATTGCTATATGTCACCGTTATGCTACAAAATCCCCCGAAAATTCACCAAATTTTGCCATATTTTTATATGTTGATATATTGACGTGGTATTGATCTATTTTACTAACAAAATCTCACAAGAATTTGCAAAATATCACCAGAGTTTGTAACAGAACAATGACATTTCATGAGATTTTGAAAGTAAAATAGATGGATACCGCATTTTTAAAAATCTATTTGATATCAGCATATGAAAATATATTTGAGTATATTATTTTTCAAAGTGTCAGAAATGGATAACAAAACTGCTATTTTCAATGACCACTTATTTTTGTCCAGCTTTAACATCGGTATCGATATCGGTTATCGGCTACAGGAGTTTTAAAATATCGGCATATCGGATATCGGCCAAAATCTTAATATCGTGCATCTCTAGTTTGCTTTGTTAAAAATGCAGCAGGCCATTTTAGGAGTGCATGTTTTATGATGGATAATTGAGAAAATTTCAAGCTTCACAAAAATATCTGGACAATTTTTCAGCAAAACAACTGCAGCTGCCTGCTTTTTGCTTTTGAAATAAAAACTAATGTTTCCAAAATGTTGGTTGTAGCTTGTACCAAATGTTTGCTTCAGTCTGTGGTAAAATGATTTATCAGGAATGTAGCGGAAATCTACTGCAGAGTGGCAGGAAGCCTGTCCTCAGTTAAAACACTGCAGTTACTGTTAAACACATTTGTTCGATTGCAAATCTCTTTTTTTGATTTTTTGATTCAGGACACTTTTTCTCAGTTAGACTCAGTTATTTCAAAAAATGAAAATGATTTTATTTTTTAATGTTATCGTAGGAAACATGATATTGTCCCAGATATATTTATTATTCAGATTCAGCTCATTAATACAACATTAAGTTCATGAAACAAAAAAAATAAATATAGTTTGATATGAGGAATAAAAAAATGAAAATAGGGAAAAAGGCAGATTATTTCTGTTAATTTTTTTTATTTTATGATTTTATTTTTTTACATTTCCGCATCATGAACATGGTTTCTAACCTTTAAATAAAGTATCAAAGGAAGTAATCCTACACAAATCCAAAAGTAAGGTCTTACAATAATCCGCAGGTGTTAAACACGTTTCCTTATTTGAACCACAACACTTAATTATTTAGGGGGACAATTCCTAATTTTTTACAAAATAAACTTTGTTATGAGCAGCACTTACAACTTTCAGTTCAAAAAACAGTCTTCTGGGAAATATAAAAAACAAAACAAAGATTGGTATTTTTTTATCAATTATTCCATATTTGCTCATTGAAAATGTTCCAGGTTTCTTATTGTGATCAATTCAAAACTGATTAGAGGAGGTGACTGTTAGGGTTCCAGTTTGTGTGGGTTGTTTATTTGTGTTTTCCTCTCTCCACCATCAGGCGGTGCCCTGTCCTCGCTGGGCCTCCCTGCACACCTGCGGCTCGTTGGGTCATTACCAGAGGAGTACTTGAGCAGCGGGCTGTCACCACCGCAATGCCAGAGTGTTTGCCAGTATTTGGTACTCTAGCCAAACTTAGATTAGCAGGGTCTAACCGTAGCATTGTTTCTCTGAGTCTGAAGTTGTTTTTTGTCTTTGTTCGTCGGCAGGAAGACTTCCTGTGTTACTGGATAAGCCTGGACCTTCTACCCCTGGAAGGATTTACCAAGTCTCACTGAGCAATGGGAAAACCTCCACATGATTCGTTCAAGTCCACTCCTGGAAAACCAAAGTGACAGTCCGCTCCTTTACTCCTCTGGGTCCAACGTATGTCTGCCTGTCCGCTCTCTGTGTTCCCTCTTCTCTGGATTAAACCCTCACAAACTGGATCCAAGGATAAACCAAGAGCCTCCCCAAAAGTGAGTGCCTCTCCAGCAATATTCAAGCCTCAGTCTATTCCCCCACTGTCCCTGAACTGATCACTGTGATCTCCCCTTCAGAGTTTCCAGTTCCGGTTGATAAGTCCGCTGAGTTCCAGCATTGTTTCCCCTCAGAGTTTCAATCTCCATCAGTGTTTGCTAACCAACAATTAACTAATAATAAACTAACTAACTAACAATAAACCTGTTAAACTTTTATCCTGGTCTCTGAGTGGTTCTCTGCATGTGGGTCAGAACTTTAAAGCCCATTATGACAGTGACTTGAGGATAAACTTTAACCTTTCCTCCTGATAGATTCATTATTTTCACACAGTAGTTGTTCTCGTAGCTGAAACTATGGATTAAGCTTCATAGGTAGCTCTACTGCACATTATCCAGCATATTTCTGATCACTGAAGGATTAAAACTAATCTAATGATAAGGTCACCATCTCTGCTGGGTGAAAATCTGACAGAGGATAAGGTTAGAAACTCAGAGCCTCTTCTGCGTTCAAATAGATCTCCCTCTGCTGTTTCAGTGTTCTACTACAAGCTTCAAACAGGAAAACAGGAAAAAGTTTTCCAGGCGCTCTAATAAAATGCAGTTATCAATGGAATAAAATGCAGCATTAACATCCATAATACCAGCACTGTGGTTGTTCTACAGTCTGCATTTATAAAGATGTCATTCAACACCTTAATAAGGGCCGTCTCTGTTCTGTGGGTGGATCAGAAACCTGACTGGAACACATCAAAGCAGCTGCTCATTGTTAAAAAGGTGTTTAGTTGTTCAAAAACAGTTTTTTCAGTAATCTAATGAAGGGGAGGTTAGAGAAAA